GGTGCATGTATATGTACATATATACATACAGGTGTATGTATATGTACATATATACACACAGGTGTATGCGTATACACAGTGTGTGGCATGCAGTAGTCGGTGCTGTCTTCTGTGCTGTGTGTAGGAAGTGTATGTAGTGCTGTGTGTGCGTTTGAGTACCTCTTGATGGCGGCGTTCGTTTGAGTCACTTGTACGCCGACAGATACGGGGTATACATTTCGGGTGCACATGCACCCGCACCTGTCCGTGCTGGTGCTAGGGCCGATGTAATACCAGTGTATGTGTGTGTGTGTACAATACAATGCAGTACTGGTGTGCTACTACATGTATTTACATGCCTCCCGATCCTTATATGGATATTTGTATGTCCTAATATGGCCCGATCTGCTTGCCCGAACGCAGGTATTCACTCCAAAACAGCCCCTTCGGGTAGTAAAAATAGACTTTCACAGTTCAATACACAAACACACGTGCGGGCACCAGTGCATATGTATATATACAACGTATCTCGGTACATATATTATATTCTGTATACTGAGAAGTCCTCTTTGATAACACTCACTACCCAAATCTCTACTACAGGGCAGATCATTCTGGAGGTCAACTTAGAAGGTGTCGCCTATCCGTCTGACGCGCCTTTGATACTCATCCGCAACACATTACTGCCAGCCTACATACGCCTAGGCGCTATGCAGGTGTGTCTAAATCACATATTAATATATATGTATGTGTACAAATGAACGTATACTTCATATGCGGTACTCCCGCTGTACGCCTGGGTGGTATGTAGATGTGTCTACATCACATATTAACATCTGTGTATGTGCACAAATGAATGTATCTGATCCTCTCCTTCATATGCGCTACTCCCGCTGTACGCTTGGGTCGTATGTAGGTGTCTACATCACATTATCTCGGGTGTAGAGTTAAAACTATGTATATCTTTGAATAAGAATTAAAAGGACTATTGCTATAAGCTTGTGTGCTGAGCCGATGTGTTACCGACCACCTATTGTATAGGTGCATCTATAAATGTATTTAAATCTAGATGCATCTATAAATGTATTTAAATCTAGATACATCTATAAACGTATTTA